GAGGTGGAAGAAAGTCATTGATGGTTACAGAAAGCCATTGATTTCAGTTCTTTTTCCCAAGGTGTGTGCTACTAAATATTACATGGAGGGTGCCAATGATTTTGTCCAATCCATTTCTGGAGTTTTGTGTGGAATGGGTCAGATTTGGCTTTTTGTTTCTCCACTTTTTTTTGTGTCCTACCAATACAAACCAAAGAAAGAAACACGAGAATGCCAAAACATTTGGAACTGCAACAATTTTCAGGGCGAGGTAGCGCATTATCGCACAGGAACGCAGGGGTGCCAATATTTTTGACCATGACCGTACCTTGATGTGGTATCAGCACCAAGAGAACCTGTGCTGCCTTGGATGATTGGAATGACAAGCACAGACACCGAGATCAGCCATCAAACGGAATGATAAGACGCAACTTCTGCTCGGCTGCGCTCCTCGCTTTACTGCTAATTGGCGAAAAAAAATGTCTCTGATAATATTTACTTTTAATTAATCTTGTAATTAGTTTTATTTTCATCTCCCCGCACACAAATATGAACTTTTATTTTTGTCTCCGGAGACTACCACTCCAAACGTTTTCTCCGGCAACATGTTCACTGCATTTCATTTCAGCCAAAATGTGTGCCGCATCCAATCCGGGATCTTCTGCACCGCTTCAGTACCGGACACTCGCCCCCTCGGCCGGCCCAGGGCAATTTTCAGGTATCAGTGCGGTCATCACGCCGTGAATGACAATTGCTCAACACTGTACCCACAATCATGTTGTATCATTTTGTATCATTTTGTATCATTTTGTATCTATTTGTATCATTTTGTATTCATTTGTATAATGTTGTATCATGTTGTATTCATTTGTATAATGTATCATATTGTATCATTTTCTATCATTTTCTATCTCTTTGTATAATTTTGTGTCATTTTGTATCATTTTGTATTATTTTGTATCTATTTGTATCATTTTGTATCATTTTTTAGACAGATGGAGCTTTCTTTTGGTGGTATTTAATCACCGTTGGATTTGTTTTAATTTTTGCTTTGGAAATAAAAATACCTCAAAATTTTAAAAATAGAACGTTTTTCATAGTTTCTATAAAACTGGTGACAGTGTATAAAAAAATATAAATATACATATTATTTTTTTTATAATTTTTACTTTTTTTTTTACTTTTTTTTACATACTTTCAGAAGTCAATGTCCCCAATCACTACAGTATTTCTAGTAGTACTACTACTCTATAGTACACAGGACGGAGTACATCTACTCTATAGTACACAGGAAAGAGTACGTCTACTCTATAGTACATAGGACAGAGTACATCTACTCTATAGTACATAGGACGGAATACATCTACTCTATAGTACACAGGACGGAGTACATCTACTCTATAGTACATAGGACGGAATACATCTACTCTATAGTACACAGGACGGAGTACATCTACTCTATAGTACACAGGACGGAGTACATCTACTCTATAGTACACAGGACGGAGTACATCTACTCTATAGTACATGGGACGGAGTATGTCTACTCTATAGTACATAGGAAGGAGTACGTCTACTCTATAGTACACAGGACGGAGTACATCTACTCTATAGTACATGGGACGGAGTATGTCTACTCTATAGTACATAGGAAGGAGTACGTCTACTCTATAGTACACAGGACGGAGTACGTCTACTCTATAGTACATAGGACGGAGTACATCTACTCTATAGTACACAGGACGGAGTATGTCTACTCTATAGTACACAGGACGGAGTACATCTACTCTATAGTACACAGGACGGAGTATGTCTACTCTATAGTACACAGGACGGAGTACATCTACTCTATAGTACATAGGACGGAGTACGTCTACTCTATAGTACACAGGACGGAGTACATCTACTCTATAGTACACAGGACAGAGTACATCTACTCTATAGTACACAGGACAGAGTACGTCTACTCTATAGTACATAGGACGGAGTATGTCTACTCTATAGTACACAGGACGGAGTACGTCTACTCTATAGTACACAGGACGGAGTACATCTACTCTATAGTACACAGGACGGAGTACATCTACTCTATAGTACACAGGACGGAGTACATCTACTCTATAGTACACAGGACGGAGTACGTCTACTCTATAGTACATAGGACGGAGTATGTCTACTCTATAGTACACAGGACGGAGTACATCTACTCTATAGTACACAGGACGGAGTACATCTACTCTATAGTACACAGGACGGAGTACATCTACTCTATAGTACACAGGACGGAGTACGTCTACTCTATAGTACATAGGACGGAGTATGTCTACTCTATAGTACACAGGACGGAGTACGTCTACTCTATAGTACACAGGACGGAGTACATCTACTCTATAGTACACAGGACGGAGTACATCTACTCTATAGTACACAGGACGGAGTACGTCTACTCTATAGTACACAGGACGGAGTACGTCTACTCTATAGTACACAGGACGGAGTATGTCTACTCTATAGTACATAGCATGGAGTACATCTACTCTATAGTACACAGGACGGGGTACATCTACTCTATAGTACACAGGACGGAGTACATCTACTCTATAGTACATAGCATGGAGTACATCTACTCTATAGTACATAGCATGGAGTACATCCATTTTATAGTACACAGGACGCCATACATTTATTTTAGTACGCAGAAGATGAATCTAATGGAGCGGCTGACTTCCTCTGAAGACCGGCGACATTTACAGGGCAACAATTTACACATTTTCCAATCCATCTGGCAGCGGCACAGTCCGGGGTCTGAGCATTATTTGTACGCGGGGGTCACGTCAGAGCGCCGGCGACAAGCGTTCTGCATCAGGACGCAAATGCTTTAATTTGGGGCCGTTTGAAGTTGACCGTTTTATAGAAGCAGTTATCGCTGATGAAGAAAAGGATTTATTGTATCAATGAAAAGAGCGCAGAGGGATCAAGGTGAAAGCATTGTATCGTCCGCCTCTGATTGCTTCTGCTGGAGGCCGACTCTCTGCAATTATTCCGCCGAGCTGAAAAATCCGAATAATTGCCGCAGAGTTAATGTCTGAGGTCAGCGCCGTCACCGCTTTTACAGCTCTGATGAACTGTCTGCCTTCCGCCGCTGATACATATTCTGGTTGTCTAAGTCGAAGCTTCGAATGTTTTACTAACTACCATACACAAGGCTGACCCGGGAACACTTCAAGACGCAAGTGGACGGAGGGAGAGATCCCTCGAAGAGGTCCCAACCACTCTGCAGAATGACATCGATCTGAGCTCTAGGCAGATGGAAAAAACGCACAAATGAATGGAACCCTTTAATGAACCTCCTGGGATATGCATCTGGTCAGGTAAGTCGCAGAGGGGGTTGTCCACCAGTTTCAGCTGCTTTGGTGGTAATGAAATGAACAACAGGTGCAGTAGATGGGCAACAATGAGACAAACCCCAAAACAGGAATGGTTTTACAGGTGGAGACCACTGACATTTTTTTTTCTCTACTCATCTTCTCTGACTGTTTTTCACTAGTTTTGCATTTGGCTAGGGTCAGTGTCACTACTGGTAGTATGAGGCCATACCTGGACCCTACAGAGGTTGCACAGGCAGTCCAGCTCTCCTCCAGGATAGCACATCAATACATACGATTGCCAGAAGGTTTGCTGTGTCTCCCAGCACAGTCTCAAGAGCATGGAAGACATTCCAGGAGACGAGAGCATGGAGGTGATTCCAGGAGACAAGAGCATGGAGGAGATTCCAGGAGACAAGAGCATGGAGGAGATTCCAGGAGACAAGAGCATGGAGGAGATTCCAGGAGACAAGAGCATGGAGGAGGTTCCAGGAGACAAGAGCATGGAGGAGATTCCAGGAGACAAGAGCATGGAGGAGGTTCCAGGAGACAAGAGCATGGAGGAGATTCCAGGAGACAAGAGCATGGAGGAGATTCCAGGAGACAAGAGTATGGAGGAGATTCCAGGAGACAAGAGCATGGAGGAGATTCCAGGAGACAAGAGCATGGAGGAGGTTCCAGGAGACAAGAGCATGGAGGAGATTCCAGGAGACGAGAGCATGGAGGAGATTCCAGGAGACGAGAGCATGGAGGAGATTCCAGGAGACGAGAGCATGGAGGAGATTCCAGGAGACGAGAGCATGGAGGAGATTCCAGGAGACGAGAGCATGGAGGAGATTCCAGGAGACAAGAGCATGGAGGAGATTCCAGGAGACGAGAGCATGGAGGAGATTCCAGGAGACAAGAGCATGGAGGAGATTCCATGAGACAGGCAGTTCCTCTAGGAGGGCTGGACAGGGCCATAGAAGGTCCTTAACCCATCAGCAGGACCGGTATCTGCTCCTTTGTGCAAGGAGGAACAGGATGAGCCCTGCCAGAGCCCTACAAAATGACCTCCAGAAGGCCACTGGTGGGAATGTCTCTGACCAAACAATCAGAAACAGACTTCATGAGGGTGGCCTGAGGGCCCGACGTCCTCTAGTGGGCCCTGTGCTCACTGCCAGGCACCATAGAGCTGGATTGGCATTGGCCATTGAACACCAGAATTGGCAGGTCCTCCACTGGCACCCTGTGCTTTTCACAGATGAGAGCAGGTTCACCCTGAGCAGACGTGAAAGGGCCTGGAGAAGCCATGGAGAACGTTCTGCTGCCTGGGCAGAGCTCTTTGGCACATCAGACCATTAAAGGCAGAACCACCAGTAAGGAAGAGGCGGAGCCATCAGTACGGGGAATGATGTTCCTCTTTAACCCCTCACCTACAGGGCACTTATACCGCCTTCCTGCCCTGGCCAGTTTTTTAAGCTTTCAGTGCTGTCACACTTTGAATGACAATTGCGCGGTCATGCAACATTGTACCCATATGAAACTTTTATCATTTTTTTGAGACAGATAGAACTTTCTTTTGGTGGTATTTAATCACCTCGGGGTTTTTTATTTTTTGCTAAACAAACCAAAAACAACTTAAAATTTTGAAAAAAAATTTTTTCTTAGTTTTTGTTATAAAATTTTTTAAATAAGTGATTTTTCTCCTTCACTGATGTGCGCTAATGATGCTGCAGTGATGGACACTGATAGGCTGCACTGATGGGCACTGATGAGGAGGCACTAGTAGTGGCACGGATGGGCATTGACAGGCATCACTGATGGGCACTGAAAGGCAGCACTCATATATGACACTGATAGGCAGCACTGTTAGGTGGCACTGATAGGCGGCACTGACTGGCACTGTTAGGTGGCACTGACTGGCACTGTTAGGTGGCACTGACTGGCAATGATAGGCGGCACTGACTGGCACTGATAGGTGGCACTGATAGGCGGCACTGACTGGCACTGTTAGGTGGGACTGACTGGCACTGTTAGGTGGCACAGACTGGCTCTGTTAGGCAGCACTGATAGGTGGCACTGACTGGCACTGATAGGCGGCACTGACTGGCACTGATAGGTGGCACTGATTGGCAGCACTGATAGGTGGCACTGACTGGCATTGATAGATGGGCACTGATATGTGGCATTGATGAGCACTGACAGGTGGCACTTCTGGTGCCACAGTGATCATCAGGTCACACTGATCATCAGTGCCCTGATGTACATGTCTCCTCTGAGTGATGCTGATTACCGGATCTCCTCTCCTCTGTCAGCGTGACGGCTCGTGAGGAAAGAGGTGCTGATAACCGGCATTTCCCTATTTACATGTGATCAGCTGTGACTGGACACAGCTGATCACATGACCGAGCCGACATCTTTGGCTCTTTCCATTGGTCGGTGATCTGCTGTGACTGAGGGACACAGCGCACCACCAATCGCCGCGCTGCGAGCTCCCGGGGCCACGCACGTGCGCTTTAGAGTCGGAGGACGTCTTATAACGTCCTCCCAGAACGAGAGAACCGCCTTGCGCCCATCACTACCTTATATGGCGGGCGGGAGGCGGTTAAAGGATAAGTTCACCTTTCAACAAAAACTAATAAATGCACATTTTTTTGCAGGAAAAAAAAATATGCATTTACTATTTTTTGTTTCTAAAGCCTACAAAGCATTGCACCATGCAGCGATCAGAATTTCACGTTTGCTCTCACTTGCCGTCCACGTTGAAATAGCAGACGTGGTAACGCACGTGGTCAGAGTAGCGCCAGTTGCACAGCTCCCGATGTACACAGGACAATGTCTTTTTTTGGCACACTGACTTATGTAGGTCGGTGATCCCCGTGACTGTGCTGCCAACTTTTGGTGTGATACAAAACTAGTGTCAAAACTTTTTGATACCACCTCATATAAGCAAAGTCTGTTTTATTTAAGACACTACAACATACAAGGTAGCCTAATGCACTTCAATCTGAGCTCTATTAAATATTTATCTCACAGAGCGCTGATGCCCTTTAAGGCCCACTTACACCAGATGCAGTGGGATGAAGTCAGATGCATTTTTGACCGCACTCCAACTGCAGTCCAAAATTCAGGTTCTCCTATGGGCACAGTTCACATCAGGGGCAGACTGACAACTCATGGGCCCCTGGCCAATAGGGGATCATGGGGCCCCTGTGTCATTGCCCAAACTCAAAAAAGCCTATGAAAAAGGTACCAGGGGCATCTCATGGGGCCCCCTACTGACCCTGGGCCCTCGGGCAGTGCCCGTGTTTCCAAATGGTCAGTCTGCCCCTGCTTCACACTATTACAGTGCAGTGAAAAAAGTGCAGCAAAAGTACAGCAAAAGTACAGCAATAGTGCAGCAAAAGTACAGAAAATGTGCAGCAAAAGTACAGCAAAAGTGCAGCAAATGTGCAGCAAAAGTACAGCAAATGTGTAGCAAAAGTACAGCAAAAGTGCAGCAAAAGTACAGAAAAAGTGCAGCAAAAGTACAGCAAAAAGTGCAGCAAATGTGCAGCAAAAGTACAGCAAAAGTACAGCAAAAGTGCAGCAAAAGTGCAGCAAAAGTACAGCAAATGTGCAGCAAAAGTGCAGCAAATGTACGTCTGGGCCTAGAGGCAGAGTGGCCGCACATTTGCGTTCCATTAAAAAAACACATATGTGCTGAGAGCATGCCCTGCACACACGTCCGGTACTCCCGGAAAGGTCCCGATCTCCCCTTTGGATTGGGACCTTTACCAATAATGTGACAGCCGTGACAGCGAATCACGGTGGTCAAATGACCCTAAAACCCAACCCCGCCTCCCGGCTTCTGTAGCCCTTAAAGGGCCGGGAGGTGCCGGCGTCAAGGGGTTAATACGGGATGTATGTTCCTTGCTAAAGAACATTATTTTTTATTATCAGGTTGTTATGGGTAAGTTCCCCTTTAAACTTGCAGGACTACAAACACCTCCCCCATGATATGGTACTCTCTGCCTGAGTTGTATCAGGGCAGGCACAGGCAGAGAGTAGCGTGTCTATGAGGTAGTAGGACAGCGCTGACCATGGTGCTGAAATACTCACACACGCTCCCCGCTCCCTATACATGATCACAGGAGAAGTGCTGCCAATTTATTCTGATTAATCCTCATTTTTATTTAGATCCCTACCAGAAATACATCAGTCAGTATCTCTAGAGCAAGATGGCTTGCACCCCCAGACCCTTTACTTCTGCATGGGTGCTTTTATCCACCATGGTGACACTGTACTGCTAGGGTGACGGTATGTTAAAAAAAAACAAAAAAACATAAACAATCATATAAAAAAATAAAAAATAAAAATGTAAAAACAAATTTTTTGAAAATTTATAATTTTTAGTTATAAACTAATTTGGGTTTTTTTTTTGTTACTAAAAAGACAACTGAATAAGTTTTGGCCAAGATTTATGAAGAAAGATTATTTATTTGCAAAATTTCTGGACTTTTTAATTTATATAGCAAAAAAAAAAAACAATCCCAGTGGTGAATAAATACCACCAAATTAAAGTTTTATCTGTCTCAAAAGAAGCTACACAAATTTGTATGGGTGCAGTGTTGCACGACCGCGCAATTGTCATTCAAAGTGTGATAGCGCTGAAAGGTGAAAATTGGCCTGGACTGGAAGGGGGGGGAAAGTGTCTGGACTAGAAGGGGGTGAAAGTGTCCGGACAGGAAGGGGGTGAAAGTGTCCGGACTGGAAGGGGGTGAAAGTGTCCGGACTGGAAGGGGTGAAAGTGTCCGAACAGGAAGAGGGTGAAAGTGTCTGGACTAGAAGGGGGTGAAAAGTGTCCGGACTGGAAGGGGGTGAAAGTGTCCGGACTGGAAGGGGGGGGAAGTGTCCGAACAGGAAGAGGTGAAAGTGTCTGGACTAGAAGGGGGTGAAAGTGTCCGGACTGGAAGGGGGGGAAAGTGTCCGGACTGGAAGGGGGGGAAAGTGTCCGGACTGGAAGGGGGGAAAGTGTCCGGACTGGAAGGGGGTGAAAAGTGTCCGGACTGGAAGGGGGGGAAAGTGTCCGGACTGGAAAGGGGGGAAAGTGTCCGGACTGGAAGGGGGTGAAAGTGTCCGAACAGGAAGAGGGTGAAAGTGTCTGGACTAGAAGGGGGTGAAAGTGTCCGGACAGGAAGGGGGTGAAAGTGTCCGGACAGGAAGGGGGTGAAAGTGTCCGGACTGGAATGGGGTGAAAGTGTCCGGACTGGAAGGGGGGGGAAAGTGTCCAGACTGGAAGGGGGTGAAAGTGTCCAGACTGGAAGTGGGGGAAAGTGTCCGGACTGGAAGGGGGTGAAAGTGTCCGGACTGGAAGGGGGTGAAAGTGTCCGGACTGGAAGGGGGTGAAAGTGTCTGGACTAGAAGGGGGGGAAAGTGTCTGGACTGGAAGAGTGTGAAAGTGTCCAGACTGGAAGGGGGTGAAAGTGTCCGGACTGGAAGGGGGGGAAAGTGTCTGGACTGGACTTTCACCCCCTTCCTGCCCAGGCCAATTTTCAGCTTTCAGCTGTCACACTTTGAATGACAATTGCGCGGTCATGCAACACTGAGACAGATAGAGGTTTATTTTGGTGGTATTTATTCACCACTGGGATTTTTATTTTTTTGCTATATAAATTAAAAAGTCCAAAACTTTTGAAAAAAAAGTGTTTCTCTTATAAAATTTTGCAAATAAATTCAAGCGATATAAAGATCTATATAGAGGAATCAGGACCTCCTTCCTCCTGCCGGTGACCCCTCTAGTGATATAAAGATCTATATAGAGGAATCAGGACCTCCTGCTGGTGACCCCCCAGTGATATGAAGATCTATATAGAGGAATCAGGACCTCCTTCCTCCTGTTGGTGACCCCTCTAGTGATATAGAGATCTATATAGAGGAATCAGGACCTCCTTCCTCCTGCCGGTGACCCCTCTAGTGATATAAAGATCTATATAGAGGAATCAGGACCTCCTTCCTCCTGCCGGTGACCCCTCTAGTGATATAAAGATCTATATAGAGGAATCAGGACCTCCTTCCTCCTGCCGGTGACCCCCCAGTGATATAAAGATCTATATGGAGTAATCAGGACCTCCTTCCTCCTGCCGGTGATCCCTCTATCAATGAGTTTTAATCATGCTGCATACTATCACTACATATGAGATGGTTTACTATGTCAAATGCAAACCTTTTCAGTGCTCAGCTGTGCATGAAATTTTTAATTGCTTATTTACAAGAGAATAATTCCTACTGGCAGCTGTCGGAGACGTCTCAGAACATGGGTTTCATGGTGTTCCAAGTGAGATGAGGGTTATTCCCATGATATTCGGGATTAATAACAGCACATGTACTGCAGCTCTAGTTACATGCTACGTAAACAGAGTTCACTTTTTGTTTGGCCAAAAAAAAAAAACCGCAAAATTTTGTTAGTAAGCCAAAACTGATGTCTTCCGTTTTCCCAAATTCAGCAGTTTGTAAAGATCTCCTCCTGTGAACATTTGATAAATAGCAGCACATAGCTCTCTGTCTGTGCAACGGTCCAGGAACTCCAGGAACTCTAGGAACTCCAGGAACTCCAGGAACTCTCGGAAATCCAGGAACTCCAGGAACTCCAGGAACTCCAGGAAGTCTAGGAACTCCAGGAACTCCAGGAATTCTCGGAAATCCAGGAACTCCAGGAACTCTAGGAACTCCAGGAACTCTCGGAAATCCAGGAACTCCAGGAACTCCAGGAACTCTAGGAACTCCAGGAACTCCAGGAACTCTCAGAAATCCAGGAACTCCAGGAACTCTAGGAACTCCAGGAACTCCAGAAACTCTCGGAAATCCAGGAACTCCAGGAACTCCAGGAACTCCAGGAACTCTCGGAAATCCAGGAACTCCAGGAACTCCAGGAACTCTAGGAACTCCAGGAACTCCAGGAACTCTCGGAAATCCAGGAACTCCAGGAACTCTAGGAACTCCAGGAACTCCAGGAACTCTCGGAAATCCAGGAACTCCAGGAACTCCAGGAACTCTAGGAACTCCAGGAACTCTAGGAACTCCAGGAACTCCAGGATCTCTAGGATCTCCAGGAACTCTAGGATCTCCAGGAACTCTAGGAACTCCAGGAACTCTAGGAAC